ACCGACCAAGCATGCATTAAAAACAAGAATTAATTATGCACATGTTATTTATTATTCTCATCCATTTCTTATTTTCCTAGTTACCTGACATTCTTAGAATTCCTCTTTCTAGTCATCAGAGTATAATAATCTTGGAGCAGTAAATAATATGATATTTGTTTCAACAATAAATCAGCTACTGCCTAAGTATCTGATAATAAATTTACTGTATTACCCTAACAATTAACTGTTGGATGATATGAAAAGTTTAAGATACGTGCTTCAGGCTTTAAGACGACATAATTTAGTAAAGGAAGATAACATGATGAAGAGCATTATTTTGAACCACTGATAAATGAAGTAAATCTGAATACCTGGAAAGAGTTTGAGATCAAACATACATAAATCTGCTAAGAATATATAATTATGTATCCAAAACACAGCGAATAATAAAATTGGAATCTTCGGATGCTGCATGGACTTCTTTCCAAACAAGAATTGTAACCCATTACTTCACTATTCTAGTTTTATACCCTTATATAGGATTCCAGACATTAAAATCCAGACTTCATTTTGCTTTCAAGTTTACTGAATCACTACATTAAGCCTCTGTGGCACAGTGTGTCCGGTCTGGACACATCTAAAAATTTCCTTCTCTACGCACAGAAAAATTGAATGTAAAAGGATTTATAGGTTACTATATATATATTATTCTGAACCTTCTTTATTTATAGTAGATGGCAGCTCAACACAAACCAGTCCATGAGTCCATATATTTTAGCCATAAAATATATGGACTCTTATATTTTAGCCTAAACATGGCTAAAATATATGGACCCTCATTTTTCAAAGAAAGCTTCCAGATTCTTTTCAGGGTATAAAAGAAATAGTTTGAAAAGAAATTTCTATGTAATTTTTTTGGCTATATGCTAATCTCCTTATTCTATATTAGTTTTAAATTTTTATCTTGAAATCTTGCCTAAAATCAAACGGCGAACTCTACGTGTGCCCAGACCGGGCTCACAGATAATTTAGGACTACTGAGAGTCTGTATTCTTTGTTTCTCCCCACCTCATCGGTCAGTTCCTTGAGAACAATGCTCGTTTCAGCACTCTTTTTGAAGCTCTTTTCAATCAGTGTGCCACTTTGGGCACACCCACAGAATTAAAACAATAAATGCTACCTTCACAAAATTTTACTTGTGTATACCTCTAGGCCTAATAAGACTACTTTTTTTTTTTTTTTTTTTTTTAAAGCAAAATTCCGACTATAAAAGGTAGCCTGCCAGAAAGGGTTAAGAAAAATAACTGGCTTTACAGTCAAAAGTCACATGGCATTTAAGAAAAAGGGGGAGACTATTCAAAGTGAAGAGTTTAAGCATAGATGATCACTTACTCAAACTTCACTTAACTGGGGGAAGTAAAAAGAAAATCAAAATAATCAGAAATTAAAGAAATTCAGTAAGTTAATGAGACTTTCAGAGAACTCAGCTTAAAAAAAAACTTAGAATAATTTTGATACATAAAAAATATTGAAACATGATCAAAATAAAGAAATTAAATTTTCAGACAGAAAGAAATGCTATAATAGGAATAACAGTATTGATATGAAAGATCTATACAGACTAATACTGAAGTGAACTTGATATTATTACTTTCCACAGTAGCATATTTCATTTCTCATCTAATTCTTTCTCAGTCATATATAAATTAAAGTAGTTATGTGTAGTATGAGTAAAATTTCTCAGAATTTTGTATTACATTTCATTAAATTTTAAATGATGTATGACTATCTGAAAAAATTAATATATTAGAATATTTAGAGAATAATATATTAGAAGATACAGCAAAAGAGTCTCTGATTTCAAAATTAAAAATCTCGACACCAAAGATTGATAGAGGAATACAAGAAGCAATATATTTATTGTGAAAGCTGTAAGAATGTTATACAGAAGTTTTGAAATAATAGTTACAAAAGCTGCCAACAGATGGTGCTATATCAATTTGCATAAAAAAGTCATCCTTTGCAGTTTTGCAACCTCATCACAACTGCTTTGAAATGTCCACTGCTCCAGTGAAGTTAGAATAGCACCTCTCGCAATACAGTGGTGGCGCAAATGAAAAATGAAATTTGCTATCACATCCTGCACTGTCTCAACAGAAATAGATTCAAATTCACACAGATCTACAATTCAAGCTACCCTAACGTGGTGGGATGGTTTTGATAAACAGTCTTTCAATGCGCCCCATAAAAAGTAGTCACAAAAAAATAAGATCGGCTAAATATAGAGGCCAATTCCTGCCTGCACCAGTAAATTTGGAATAATCCAATGCAATGACTCTATTCTTAAAGTATTCATCAAGAAAATGAAACACCTGTTTAGTGCGACAGTCGGTGCCTGGTCAATTATCCAGGCCTAGCTGTATGGCAATAAACTGTTCCAAAATTGCGATATCATGTTTACTAGTGATTGCTTCTCGCATGAAAAAATGGCCGATAATGCATCTACTTCTTATCATATCCCAAATAATAACTTTGCAGTGGTTTTGTCTCACGCAAATGGGGATTTTCAGAACCCCAAAATTGCCAGTTTTGTTTATTTATGAAGCCATTCATGTGGAAGTATGCTTCATCTGTGAACTAGATATAGCCATCTATTAAGTAATATTAAGTAAAGTAATCTATCTAGTAATATTAAGTAAATCCCAAGAAAGTGAATCAGTTTTTCTTATTTACTTTTGTACTAGTCTTTAAAACTAGTCTATGCACTAGAAATTAAAATGCATCTATCAGAGTGATGTCATCCACTCTGCTATTTACAGATTGATAATACAAAATATAATTCCATTTCAAATTTAGTAATTGTTATTAAACTATGAAATGACTTTTCTATAACTTGTTATGTGAAATAAATGATTTTACTGGCATTATAAAAATAATATAAATCAATTAGCTATTTATCACACACACCAAAAAACAAAAAACGACAGAGAAGCGATTCTAGTTTTATACCATTATATAGGGTTTCAGACATTAAAAATCCAGATTTTCTTTTGCTTTCAAGTTTACTGAATCACCAAATTAAGAAAAATAACTGGCTTTGCAATCAAAAGTCACATGACATTTAAGAAAAAGTGGAAGACTATCCAAAGTGAAGAGTTTAAGCATAGATGATCACTTACTCAAACTTCACTTCACTGGAGCAAGTAAAAAAAATCAAAATAATCAGAAATTCTAGTTAATGAGACTTTCAGAGAACTCAGCTTAAAAAAACTTAGAACAATTTTGATGCATAAGAAACATCAAAACATGGTCAAAATAAAGAAATTCAACTTTTTAATAATGCATTTACTTTCCAAAAATTACACAAAGTGACAGTTCCAAAAAATCAAGTTTCCAATTGATGACATATATTCACTTGGAAATTAGAATTAATTACAGCTATTAACTTTTTTCAAATATATTTGCATCTGAAAATAATACTTTTCAATGACAGAAATAACACTTGAAAACATAGCTACAAAGAGAGTAACAAAAATATGCTTTAAATGACATCATCAATTTCTTAAAGAGAATTTATGAAATGTTTTAAAAAATAGAATAAAACTTTAGAATGACTCAGTTGTGCCTGATTCTAAATAAAAACAAAGCCTGCATACTAAAAATTTGCTTTTTTTATGTACATTTTTAACACTTCAAGAGGAGTATATATGCTTGGAGTATGTCTAAATGACCCAAAAAATCATAGGAGTTTTGCATTTATGGGTTCTTTAAAGGGAAACATATAATGGAATATAACTTCCTTGATTTCAGAATAATATGCAATTTCAGTTTACCCAAAACACTCAAAATTAATTCAACACATTTTAAAAAAAATCTTCATTTAGAATGTCTTAAGTGCATAAAATTCTACTTATCGAGAACAGACAAAATTTATTGTTTATAAATATTAACTGCAGGAAACATTTAACACGTTGTCTGCCCAACACGAGATAACTCATATTAGCACTCTTCTTCAGGATGACCAATATGAGTTATTTCGTAGTTTCTTGATTTAACACTTCTACGCCGCTACGAGTTACTTACTCGCTTAGCACTTGTTTTAGCTGTACCGAGGCAACAAATCAAAGCATGTCTGTACGAATCAACTCTTAGTGGGCTTCTATAAAGAGCTTTGTCTAATAAAAGCCAATTACAAGATAATTTGTAGGACCCTTTTTTCATCAAAAAAAAAAAAAAAACCCACCCTGTAAACTTTTTAATGACTGTTATGAATCATAATTGGTATTTTTAAATATGATTAAATCAATTTGGCTTCTTGCACCGGAATCTGAAATGTGTCGTGGCAGTCAACGTGTTAATTTGACTTATCAAAAATTTCAAATTCCAAGTAGGCTGATATTTTAATGAAGCAGGATAAAAAAAAAAAAAAATTGTTTTATATTCAATCATAATATACCTTGCTTTCCACTGAAGAAAGGTCATTAAATAATGTTATTCAGTATATCAATTACACTTTACTATGGAATTGTATAAAAATACTTCATGACTATAAAAAGATTGTAATACGTAAATAATAAATAACATGATGTTAAAGTTTTTGGTTCATATTTAACAAACATTACAAAAAGATAAATTTGAAGAGAATACAAAAAAAATGCACGAGTGATTAGTAAACCTGCAAATTAAAGATAAACACTAGTTAAGTGCAGAATATATAAAATTTAAACTAACGACAATTTTCTTATTCTTCTTTGAATGCTACAGATGGAAGAAGCAAAATGTAACAAAAAGATTTTATTACAATTTTATTTTGTTTTATGCTTATTTGCATTTTAATATTTTATATAAATTTATATAAGTTTCAGAATAAAAACAATGTGTTAAAATGCCTGCATTAATATGCCTGCTTAATAAAGCAAATTTACTTAAAGCTGTAAGGGAAAAAGTTGGTTATACATGTCTGATCTTATTAAATTCTGAAGAAATATTTGTTAAAATAAAAAATTTAAAAGTCGTACTTTCTAAATTAGGGACGATACTTTCATTTACAGGAAATTTGGACATCTTTGGATAATTTGCCAATTCGGTGTTATTAATGGCACTACCGAGTATTGTTGGGGCACTACCGAGTATTGTTGGGGCACTACTGAGTATCGTTGGAGCACTACCATGAGGAGGCACAGTAGGTTGAATCAGTGCATTCTAAAAAAAAAATGGATTGAAATTTAATAAATATTGCTAGAACTAAAAGATACAGCACACTGGTTTTTATATAAAACTTTACAAATGAAAAACATTAGAAACATTCAAAAAATTTTAATTAATTTTCAAATAAATTTAATAAATATTGCTAGAACTAAAAGATACAGCACACTGGTTTTTATATAACACTTTACAGATGAAAAACATTAGAAACATTCAAAAAATGTTAATTAATTTTCAAATAAATTTAAAACATTAGTACAATTACATTACAGTATAAAAATTCTGTAATAACAAAATCTGCTGTATTTCGTAACTACATAGTACTCACTCAAAGGTTTTTGAACACGCAATTTACGAAACTGAAGACGACCAGTTTATTTTTCCAGCTTATATGTTCAGAAAATTAGAATAATATTCAGCTTCAAGAAAGTTACAGCTAAAAAGCTCACATTATATTCCTTTTAATCAATTTCTTAATTTTACATAGAAATTTTGATAATTTAAATAAAATGGCATATCATTACACAAAAAAAAATCAAATACTTACCATAAATTAATTTGGTACATTGACCCCAAAATTTTAAATGAATAATCAGTTTTTATGGGGATCATGGGTTGGCAACTGCTTTTCCAAATTGTCACCAACATGCACCCTGGCGGCTGGTAAAAATCACAATATTTGAAAATAGCACCATCTATTTACAATATCAGTAACCAGTATTAAGTAAGAATTTGGCATGGTGCCTATGTATTGCAGTGTTTGGCTTCATGATCTCAATAACCGATAAGTAGTGAATAATCAATAATTTATGTACATCTGACATTTAAATAAAACCTCCATTTTTTACTGATAGATCATTCAAAACCCTATGGTACAGAATTGCAACTTATTTCCTCAACATTCTTTTAACCAGTCCTTTATGTGATAAATATAGTCTTTGTTATATTTCAAAGTGTTCTAATTAGTAATTCAATGAACCTCTTTTCTGTTCTTATTGCAGTTCAAGTCTTTTCTATTCTTATTGCAGTCCAAGGAACTGAATAATGTTCCCTATGCATATATTCATATAACAATTCTTATTTCAAGGCAATTGTAATTCTTTTTTACTTATATTTTAAAATATACTTACTGGCATGACAGATTTCCTAGCTGTTTGAGCAAGTATTCAAAAATAACAGTGCAACTTCCTTTTGCACACTTTCAAAATTTCAGTCATTAACACATTACTTTTCTTCAACACACAATCAAAAGATTATCTAAAGCTCAGCACAGCCAATAGGAAGCAGATTCTTAATCTTTCACAAAATGTATGCAGTACACTCCCTGAACAAGAACCGTATTGCATAGAGCTACAGAGGCAGGTCCACACTTAACAGGAGCAATTTCATTTATTCAACATCAATAAACAGTCATTCAACCTTCTATCACCACCCTCTGAAGCCTTTACAGAAGTTTCATCTTCATTACATCAGATAACGAAATCCTATTTGTTAATTTACAAAGGAAGAGTATAGCCCCAAGGAAAAACCTCTCTAAGCCTGTCACTTCTCAGACCGAGTAAAGACAAACATTCTCCAGATCAGATCTCAACTTTCTTCAGAATTAAATACTAAAGAGCTAGGAATAGCTATTGAGGAAATGAAAAAGATACATTCTAGCAAACACTTAATGCAATGTAAGGGAAAGTACCATCTGAAAGTACTACATAAAGTTATTCCAGAAAAGTCATCTCATTCAACATCAGTTCAAACTCACTCTGTCAAGAAGACCTTGATTATACTGTATAGAACACCAACATCAGCCATAGTAGACGATATTCGTCAACCTACAGTACAGTTGTTTATATTCAGCTGCAATAAAGGAACAATTCATGCCTAGAACCTCACTCAGCACAACTGCAGATAATGCACATATATTGTTGACATACAGCAATAGAAACCAAATTTTTTTTTATTTTAAGAACATCCAGGATTTAATACTTGTATCTTTAGGCATTTTCCTACAGTAACATGGCGTACAACTGACTAAGACATGTCAGTTGATCACGCAAAGCACTGCTGCTTGCTCCACCTGTAGAAATTGCATTAATGGCCCAGTTTCTAATACAAATAAAGAGACACTTTCAAGACATCTCATTCTGCCAGCACAAAATGCACTATTTTAATTAATAACATACTATACCTTATAAAGTAAATTTACAGAATATTATTACTTGTGCTTTATTTAGAATGTATGTGGAGATGAAAAATGTCATAAACAGAGGAGGAAAAAAGGTTGTAGGACATTTCGAAATGAAAAAAAAAAAAATATCCATTTCAAAGACGCATTACACAGAATAAGGGTTTTAAAAGACCTTCCAGATAAAAAAAACAATTACTTATTCTTTATTCAACAATAATAGAGAGAAAAACTAAAAATAGATACTAATTAGTAACATAGAAAAATCTTAGTTCTACTATCCTTCATCATCATATATGTCATCACCTCGGTCCACAGACTCGCTATGTAAGAAGACTGAAATATCAAGCACCTCCTGTGAACGGGGCTTCTCTTTTTTCTTGTCGTTTCCTGTAGGTGGCAATTATCAGATCTAATAAAATAAACAGGTCATTACAGGTGATTTGTTATGGTATTTCTGCTGACAGATGCAGAAACACCCTTCATATAGCAGACTTGGTCCACGGTGATTTCCGTCTCTTTAATGCTTTGAAAAATTCACAACAAATACAGACAGAACAGTTAAGCTGAATTCATATTAGCATGCTCATATGAATGCTGTGAATGAATTAACGAACTGCGAAATGACATGATCATACCACAGCGGAAACATTCACTTTAAAAAGTGTCATTTGTGCACACTAGCTGGCTCCTCATATTATAAAGGAGGAAGACATACCTCCTATTTCTGCTCTCTCCTTTTATTATTTGAAAGGATTGCTTTGTATTTTCCTTTAAAATCTCCCGATTTTTTTGCGTCAAATTTTAGACATTCCAAACTTTTTGGAGAAATGTTTAAATATTTCCTTATTAAAGTAGTCAATTCATACTAAACAACAAAAATGCTGTTTGACTGTTTTGTTTTTGTTGTTTGACTTCTGAATTAGTATTTGTTCGGTGTGTTATTGTGTCTTAACTAGTCAATTCATCTTAAGTCTTGATCAACATATGAAATTTATGCATTACAGATTCTAAGATTACAATGGCTAAGCATGTCAAGTTGATGACTATGCACTATGGCCACTTTAATAAGAAAATACCAAAGTTCATATTTTCTTACTTTCCTTGACCATTTTTAATTTCTGTAACTTTTCAGGATTTTCCAGATGAGGGAGATTCCTGCTTTGTCGAAAAATAATGTTTACTATTGCCTTACTACTGTGTATCTATTTATCTGCCTATGGAACAGTTTGCTTCAGAGAAAGTCAGTTACCTTACTTTTACAACTGCTTTCATATGAGGCAGGTATAAAGCATTTAGTATCAAAGTAACAGCAGCAAAAGTCTCATGAATAAATAAACATTGTAATACAGTTATATGATAAACAAAGAGTTGAATTTTTATTTTATTAGTTACAGTTTTATTTATGTGAAATTCTATGTTAATTTTTAGACTATTTTATGTAAAAATATGCAAACTTATTTTATTATTCATCCCTATCAAAAACTGCCCAATACATCTACAAATTAATAACAAATTTTAATTTATAAATTTAAAAAAGTTTTGCCACAATTTACGTTTTAAGGCAATTAAGCTGTATCTTTGAAATTACACCTTACAGAACAAAAATGAAGCCAATTTTAATCAGCACCACAAATATATCACTTTTAAGACACCAGTTTGCTTGCTAGCCAGTATTATATAGATTTAAATAAAGTAATTTCATTTACAATACACCGTTTCTTATCTTCAGATATACATTAATATTTGGACTGGAATTTACAATACTTACGTATTAATGCCACCGCAGCTGCGATTTGGCCGAATTTAAGTGCCACTAATCTACACCTAAAATCTTCAAGACAAATCATAAATTAAAACACTTTATTTAAAATCAAGACACTTTCAAAAATCAAAACACTTTATTTAAAATCAAAGTAGTCAATTAGATTTCGGTGGAAAATGGGCTAATATAGAGTCTAACATAGATTCAAAACAGTCTCTATTTTCTTTGATCTGATGCTGTTTTCATAGGAACTCTGCTAAATAAGATTCTAAATGATGTCTCGCTGTCCCCCTATGTCTCTTGTTCCTCCATTTAGTACTGCCCCACATTCTCTCAACTGTTTGAGTATGAACGCTTGTATCAGAATCAATAAAATTGTATTTATGATTAACTTTAGCATGTAGGAATCCTTCTTCTATTCTGATTGTTTGATAACCTTTCCAACTGTCAGAATAAATTTGTGCTACCATCTGCAATGTTTTCAATAATTTTATTAAGAAGGGTAGAGCCAGTTCTATTAGGAACATTGGCAACAAAAGAATCTTTTATTTCTCTACATATACCACCAAACACCCACTGTTCGGGTAACACTCGACCTTAATTATTTTTATGTTTAATAAAAAAACTTTCATCAATTTCCACAATGTAATTTGGTCCACCTACCTTCTTGTTTGGTTTATTCTCCGTATCCAAGACACGTAACTCACACATGTAATTGTTCCAGGTTATAACAGTTTTATCCGATAAATCAAGTGGCTTTTCACAAATCGATGTCAACTCCTCACACCAGTAATATATGAATCTCAAAGCTGAACAAAATGGAATTCTGCTTAATTCAAACCAGTTTTCTTTTCTAAGTCCCACTTGCTGATCACATTGTCTTAAGTTACATTTCCAAAACGTGTGTTTACCAAAATAAAGTTTCATATCACACGAATTGGTACACTTTCATTTTTTTGATAAAATATTTCGCTCCTGAAAAAATAAAATTGCATTTTCTTCTGTGTTTGGCAAATCCCAAAGACGCATTTTCATAGCACTAAAAAATGGCAT